TCACAAAGGAAGCTCTGACAGAGCAACCCTCGCTGCAGCCACATCATGATCCCCGAGATGATTGTCTCGACCCTGCAAAGGAGACCTTGACAAGGAACGGGCGACTGAGATTGCCTACCTGGTGTGTCTGGAAGAACGAACTCGAGATGCAGCGAGGAGGTAGTGATCCAGGATCTTCCTCCGCACTTCACTGTCTTTGTGGAGACGCTGGAGACGAGGGTGAAGGAGGAGATGGGGGAGGAGGAGGGAGAGAGGTGGTTGGAGAGGTTCCTACCAGGAGAACAGCAACCGTGGACTCACTACATGGGGGCCGGGGGGGACAATATTTACTGTCGTCCGACCCCCTAGCTCACTACATGGGGGCCGGGGGGGACAATATTTACCGTCGTCCGACCCCTAGCTCACACATTTTACGTCTCTCCATGTGTCTTTTGTTCTTGTCAGTCTCACCTTCGTTTCTCGTTTGCTGTGTTCATTTTACTAGTTCACTATATATATACGAGTGTTTTTCACTATAATTATGCAAGAGTTGAGCAAGGCATCAGCCCTCCACTAAATACTAGGTGGGGTACTGGGACCGTTATACACAATCATCTGACTGAGTTGGCTTGTGGAACACAATAGCCAATGGGTAGTTCTGCCAACTCACACACACAACAAAATGTCATGAAAAGAAACTATATAGCTGTCATGTGATTGTCATGTGATCTTGGCCCTCTGCTGGAGGACCCAGTCCAGAAGGGAAGGCCAGAAAAACGACAGGTAGAGGGCCAAATGATGAGTGGGTGTGGCCACAACGAGACTCCGCCCACCTTCAGCGACAGTGTAAAGTATCTTTACAGCTACGTATTCTGGACTCATCCCTTTAGCTGTAGTTGGATCTAGCACTGCAGACGAGAGAGAGAGAGAGAGAGAGAAAGAGAGTTAATGAGGGGGTACTCCTGGTGTAATGGGTGTCCATACCCCCATGTTTGGATCCGTCTGGAGCCAGAGCATTGAGCGAGAGCTGGGTTCTGATGTACCCAGGACAGACAGTGGAGACCCTGACCCCTCTGGGGCCTAGCTCACACCGAAGACTGTCGAAATAGCCGTGCAGTGCGTGTTTCGAGGCTGCGTCTGCAGAGGGTAATAATAGCTGGGAGGTGGGGTGTTGGGTTGGGTATGCATACTGAATGTATGGATGATATAATTATACGAGGTCACAAGACAAATAAAACAACATGAACATACATGAGGAACGATGCGGGATGCCAATCTTCCCCTGCAGACTGCTGACTACCACAATGTGACCTCCTCCCTGCTCCACCATGGCAGGCAACAGGGCTAGGGAGAAACAGAGGCAGAACACATTCCATTGCCTTGTTTTTGTTGTTGACATTACAAATTTTGAGGCTTAAACAATTTTGTAGATCAGCAATGAAAGGCTTGAAAATTTGGCGCCTATCCGAGAATGGAAAATGTCTGGAGATTGCTAGTAGTAACAGATGGTCTCTACCGTACACAGGGGCTTCATAACTGGAACTACCTCTGGTGAGTGAGACGGTCCCAAAGAAGTTAGTCTCCATGATCTTCCTGTCTACAGCCAGCTCCGTGTCCAGAGCCGCCCCCCGAGAACTGATCCCAGCGTTGTTCACGAGTATGTCGACTCTCCCGAATGCCTGCATGGCTTCTCTGGCTCTGTCGGGGAGAGAGGACGGAGACGAGAGATCCAGAACTAGGGTCTTGGGGGAGTGGAGTCGGAGATTGGTTGACTGCAGAGGTGTGGCTCATTTCAACCAACACACAGACACACACCTCTTTCGGTGCGGGAGTGGTGTCCAGCTGGAATTTCAGAGCCTGGAGTTTCTGCAGATCCCTGGATGCAAGGATGACCTTTGCACCCACACTGTGAAACAGCCTGGCAAGAGCTGGAGGGAGAAAACGACACCTCTACACCGTCTCTGTCTCCTTTCCCCTCACCTTCCCCAAGTCCTGAGCTCGCTCCTGTTATTAGCACCACTTTCCCGGAGAGCCTGCTCAGCGCGCGCCGCCGTCTCCATCTCTTGTATGCCTGATATGCAGCCAGCGCCACTCCGACCATCAGCAGCGTCTTCCCCAAACTGCGTCCTGTCCACATCTGTCTGAAAACATAGCTCAGTACCTCCATAACCGAGGAAGAGAAAGGAGAGAGCCTCTGCTCTCTAATTATACGCTCAGTCAGACGTTGGTAAGTAATTTCGTAATTTCTCCTCGCGCGCGGCTCCGCGAGAGCAGGGCGAGGGAGAAGGAGAAGGGTTTTGGTGTGGCCAGGGCTAATGTCGCAGCAGAAGCGACTGAACCGAGTCAGTCTCTCTCACATTCTGAGCCAGCTCAAGATGTGTGGGTGGTACTGGGGCGACCTATCCAGCGACGAGGCCGAGGACGTCCTCAGGAACACGCAGGAGGGCTCCTTCATCCTCAGAGACAGTTCAGACGCCTGCCACCTCTTCACTCTCTCCCTCAAGGCCCACAACCTGGTGGTTAGCGTCAGAGTGGCCTTCAGCAGAGGCCAGTTCAAGCTGGACTCCCTCCACCAGGAGGACTCGCCTGGTTTTGACAACATGGTGGACCTAGTCGATTATTACCTCGCGGACAAGAAACGAAGATTCTACGTCGCTGTACCAGACATGGAAGAGTTTGCAGTATCTCTCCTGCACCCAGTGTGGAAGGAGGTGCCCACGCTGCAGCACCTCTGTCGGAGGTGTATTGTCCAGCGGTGCAGAACCTCAGATGCACTTGACTCTCTCCCTCTTCCCCTCCACCTCATTGGATTCCTGAAGGAGTATGCTCCTATGGACACACAGGCACCTCTTCCCTTACCCTCCTCCTCCTCCTCCTCCTCCTCTTGCTCAGCTTCACTTTCTCCCCCCTCTCTCCCTCCACACCATCCCCCATCTCTCCCTCCACACCATCCCCCCTCTCTCCCTCCACACCCTCCCTATCACTCGTCACTAGCATCCAATCATCGCAGACCGTAGTCACATGTATCACTGAACCCTATGTGTATTGTGTGTTTCAGAGCATTGGATACCTTCCTGCTGTACTGTGGAAACAGTCTCATCTATACACCAATGGGACAGAAGAAAGTGTCCATATTAGTGAAGTGTCCTTTTTTATGGGGTTGAATTACATGCAAGAACTTGTGAATGGAGAGGTGTCTTCACAAGAGGGTGTCCTTATTGAATTGCATAAAAATGTAATAAAGGTGTCCTTATTAAGAGGTGTCGTCATTTCAGGGGTGTCCCATAATAAGAGAAAGGGTTCCACTGTTGCTGTTTGAGCTCGTCGTCGTCGCCCTGTGGGGTAGAGCACACTTTCCTTGTCACTAGACACACACAAAATGATTACACTTCTCTCTTGGCATATCCAAGACTCCATTCCATTTCCACACCCTGTGGAATTGGAATTAAACCACAGGACTACAGTATGCATTGCTTGCACAGGACCTCTTTAATAATCAGTTTATTTAGGTGTCAGACCTTGTCACAATGATGCGAGTCAAGCTGGCCCTGGCACGAAAAACAGTAAATTAGCATTATACCACTAGACAGTCAAGTCCAGGGATTCTTACATGACCATGCAAATCTCATAGCACTGTTGGTAATACTCTCATATTATAGTACCCCACACGCACAAACACGCTGCATCACTCCACATTCTGTTGCCATTACAAGAGTTACTACGCTTACTTACACACGGTTTTTATAGCTGGAGCATTATTCATAGCTCTGAAGTACCAATGAAAAGGATTTCGGCCGGTTGTGCAATTGTCTGATGCAGCATGTGCCACCACTAACAGAATCCTTTTACTCTCTACTGATATGTATTCTGCAGTCAGCTGTGTACTGATCATGTGCATGCATGCAACTCTGTGCATGCAACTCATGTGCAGCATGCAGCACAAACCGTGGCATGAAGCCCTCTGTCAAACTCACCAAAAGAGACCTGATAGTAAACATCTGTCCAAACACCCCTTCGCTTTTCTGGAGCAAGCAAGCACAGCTTACCCAGCTGTCGGGCTGTGTGATGTGATTCATTCCTTCCCCAGCCTGGGCAGCAAGGAGCCACAGCTGTCAGGGTGACTTCTCTGGTTCTGTACCAACAGGCACTATAGCGAGACATGAATTCGCTCTACACCTGTGAATCAGCTCTTGCTGCAATCAATGAGTCGATACCTTTCCAAGGTCACCTCGTGAATATTGGACTGCCATCTGTATTACTGCAGTGTGCATGTTGGCATGGTGTTGTTTCGTGTTGTGAGGTGTGTTGATGCCGAATAACGGCCTAGGGTGTAGTCTGGGGCCTTGGCAGTTGAGGATGATTGGAACTTTATGAGATTATGGAGATCCTTGGCTTTCGCTGACATCATTTGCTCTATCACATAATGCCAGCCAGCAATGGCAATCATAGTAGCTTCATAGCACGGAAGAGAGTGAGAGAGAGAGAGGGAGATGACATGTTTCAGAGTAGGTGTTAACCTTTGACATGGTATACAAAGTCGGAGAGGCCAGGCGACAGTGTACATGTAGCTGACACTTAGTAAATCTGAGAGATCTAATGAGGTAGCAATCCAGCCCACCGCATGTTGGGGATGTTCACACCTATTTGTAGGTGCTCAGAACAAGTACGGTGCCCTCTGTTTTCCCTTGTCCTCCGAGTGTCCCCTCTCTCACTCAGGCAGCCTTTGACTACATCCACTCACCCAGCAGCTATATTAATCAGAACTGTACTCCCAATGAGAGGCAGTCTTGCCAAGTGTGTGTGTCTATGGACCGACCTTTGGGGCTTGTTCAGTGTCACAATGGACCTCAATTGCACAGTACTGGGAGTGAACTTGTTGACTAGGTGTAGGATTAGATAAGGATATAGTCTGGTGAAAGGACAGTGGTCAGCTACAAGAGGTACACATGCACCACCTGCCTGACTCTGTAGGTGATTACAACAAAACAAGATACTTGTAACGACATGTGCCGAGAGGCTACGGCTCGTCTGGAGCTAATCAGCTGGGGTCCCCCCATTCAGACTCCGCTGGCACACGTCTGCATGTATGCCACACACATGAGCGTGTACAGGGGACACATGTTCCCTGTACATCTGACTAACAACAGTAGTTGGGCTCAATAAATTGTGTTCTGAGATGATGTAAATGTACATATCTCACTAATCAAGAACCCTCTAGACCCTACCTCTTTCTAATCTGAAAATACACTGCATGTATGTTTGTCCTGTGTAGCTCAGGTGTTTGTAAGGCAGCTGCAATGTCTGCCTTATACACATGTAGTGCTGTATGGGTGTGTACTTAAAGTGTAAAGTGTGCGCCTTGTACCTCTGATAACCTTTGTACACACAGAGTATTGTAATGCAGTATATACCTGTACACATGCAAGGTGCTTCCTGGGTGACCTCTAGGATACAGTCACAAGAACAATGCAGAAGCCATGTAGATGTGGGAAATGATTGTGACTCATTAACTAGGGTCTCACTCTATACCTTGGGTAATTGGCAGTTAGTGCCAGCACAGAATGTCTGTGGCTTTCCATAAACTAGATTACAGATCAGCTGCGAGAGAATTCCAGTGCCACTATATTATAATGAGCAGACAGGGAACATGTGTCTGGTAATCAGGGGCACATGAAGTTATGTGTAGGCAGCTAGCTGAATGGTGGGGATAAGAGCATGCTTGGCATGCACTGCTCCTAATTGATGCATATCAACATCTATTTTTTGGTATTGTGTACATTGTGTACATAAGTGTGTGTGTGTGTGTGTGTGTGGTGTGTACTTTTTGAACCCATGCACTAGGGTAGTCACTAATATCATACAAGACTGGTCATCAGATATGCCTGCCACACAAAGGAGGATATGAAGGTGGATGCCAGGTCGCCTCTTGTACAGCTGGGTATGAATGAGCAGATACCTAAAAGGAGTTGAGTCTTGTGCAAATGAGATGATAAGACGGGAAAACTGCAGCCCCCACCTCTGTACATCTCCCAGACCAGCGCCAGTGAGCCTGGCCAACACATTCACTTCTCCCCTGGCTCACCGCCAATCAGCTGACGAGGGTATTATGCCCTGCATTTCTCCACTCCCTATATGGAAGTGCCGGTGTTTTGTTACAGGACACACGCCCACTCACTCACTCACTCTCTTTTGTTCTCTGAGCCTGCAGTACACAGCAGGTTACTGAAACAGGTTCATCAGGTCTCAGTATGTGAGCAGCCTCAACCAGCTAGCCTGATCAGCACTCTACAACCATCACAAAGACCACCTCTAGTTTATAGCCATTTTAGCTGAGGGTAGGGCAATTGAAGCATACAGGCCTGCACAATGCAATCAGTATTGATGTTTACTACATTTGCTGGTGTTCAATTGAACTGATGCTACGCTGTGTATTGCTAATCTGCTGTTGCTAAAACAGGCGTGAATGGTGCATGATGCAGACTTGTGGTGACTAGCTCTCCATTGTGAAGGTAATCCCCAGTGTCGAGAGGCAGGCACCAGACCAGCTGTTTTTTCACAGGACCATAGAGAATTGGTAGTGAGGCAGTGAGAGAGACGACATAGACCCCAACCCTCCAAGGCACAACACTACAGCTGATTGCACTGCTCCACTGACTATCTGCAGATGAGCCGCAAACCTCCAGGGACTTCTAGTATCAACAACAACTAGCTGAGTACAGTGACAGGGATCTTCTGCCTCCCACACTCTCACCTTTCCCCACCACCAGCCCTGGATCCCGTGAGCTGACACAAGTAAATAGGACAAGTTATTTAGCTGTAGTAGGTCGCACCAGTGTACCAAATGCAGCCCATTCAAGTATCCACTATACACAGAGGCAACAGATAGTACACAAGGTGTCCACTTTAGTTTACAGTGTATATGAAAAAGAGTCAGAGATGTGTGGAGGGGGAGGGAGAGGGGAAGAAAGAGGGAATGGCAGAACAATGCTCTGTGGAGTCTCACTCCACTCACTCTCACACTGGTTGCCATAGCTAAAGATTGGAATGCACGATTCTGTACACCGCTTGGAAGAACAGCTGTTGAATATAATCCAGGTCCAACCCTTGGCTAATCATGAAGGATTGCCCAGGGAGGTAGGGGAGTAACGTGTCTCTAATGTTGGTGGTCTCGTAATAGCATACACAAGTTTGTGCAGTGCCAGCAAAAACCTGCACATGCCTGTTGGGCACGTGTGACAAAAATAGCGGATAAAAGATGATGTAATCATACTAATAAACATTCGTTAGGGAAGTGCCCTGGGTAATCCCTGTCATATGTTGCCAGCTCAGCACCTGTGGGTCATTCAAAGGAAGTCCCTGGGTGTTCTTACTATTACTGTTGTATGGACCGGCTGCCCAGCCCTCACTGGCTGTTGTGAGCAAAGGTGCACCAGGAGACAACATCAAAGGCATGGGGAGTTCAGCAGAACAACTATTTATGTAGTCTAGCTACAAGGAGCAGGTTTGTCCAGCTTTGAAGACCTGTTTACTATAATATTTACCACCAGCTACACTGCTACACTCTCAGTTGAGTGGTAAAATATTTTTTTAATCTGTGGAATCAGCAATTGCTTTGATAGTTATTCACTACACAAACACAGGGCAAACAAGAGACACAAATCACAAGTTGATCAGATGAAATAAAGAAATGCTGTGATAAACCAGAACTTTTAGATGGTTGAGACAAGAGGACTAAAAATACAAACTGAGTGCAGTGAAGTGTGAAATTGCAGATGAACAGAAACAAACAAAAACAACAAACGCTAGTGTTATATCATTGAACACCTAGTATAATGGTGGGGGGGTGGGTGGGAGAGAGAGCGAGAGCAACACTCATGTGATACAATTGTCCCTAGTTTCATGAGGTGCCTGTGTCAAGTTGGAGCGAGTTGCGAGACCCGGAACTCTGCGAATCGATGTCCCTACCACCCTTCCATGTTTCCTCCTCCTCCATGGGGTACAGCTGCTCGTCAAAGTAGGGGTTCAGGGAGAGGTAGAATTCTACGAGTCTCCTGGGCAGACCTAGACTGTAGAGGTGGTCCCTTGTGACGAATCGCTGGATTGACTGACGGCAGTAGTACTGCAGAGAGTGCATCTGTCGCAGTCTGCACACTGGTTTGGTGAGGAACAGGTGGACGTCGTGAGTTCTCCGGTGGCCGGTCAGAATGCACACAGGGAGCTTGTGAACTGTGGATCTGTGCTGGCAGTATGCAATGAGATCCATGAGAGTGTGGAAGAGAGGGAGGCCCGGGTCTTGGAGCGACAGACTGAAATAGCCCTTGGCGTAGTCGATTCGAACGGAGCCGAATCTGTTCTGGATCTTGAACGTGATGGTGAAGAGATCGGAGTTGCTGTGGGAGTCGCTCGAGTCGCGAACCAGGAAGGCACCGTTTGGTTCCCCCTGCAGCATGGCTTCCGCCTCAGTCACTGATATGTCCCCATAGTAGTAGCCCGCTTTGGGGAGGTCTAGGATGGTATGGAGGAGTCCACTAGTGTTGTGGTGACAGCACGTCATATTCCGTGTTGTATTGCTTGTAAGGAAAAAAACCTGCAAGAGAGAGAAGCGAGATGAAACGGCGTCTTCAAGGGCACATAAAGCCGTGATATTTGAATTGTTTATCCAGCTAGACGTTCTGAAACAACAAACGGGCCGTTTAGGGGAGCGGGCGCGATCTCCGCGACCCCGCGCGCACAACAACCGAGCTTTTACGAGGTGATAAACACCGTCTTGTTTGTCCGTCGGCTCCACCTGCAAAATGCCGTCGCGCTAAACCGAACCGCTCAGTATATACTTGCAAGAGGGCAACCCTGCACGCTAGAGTCTTGCGCAACAGTGCAAGAGAAAAGACGGACGGCCAGTTTCCAGACACGGCGCAGCAGGAACGGCGAGCCGTAAAAACTTGAAAACCTGCTCTGCAATGCGCGACAGGAGCAACTTACCTACTAAATAGAGGAGAAGATCCTATAGTTCAAAAGACGGGAGGACAACAGTCCGCATCAGCTGGTGGGTCAGCTGTCAGGATGGTCCGCCGAGACGAGAGAGGGTCGCTAAGCGAACAGCGGCTTTATATACCCGAAACTCCGCCCACCGCATTTCGCAATTTCGTAATTGGCTTCCTGGGGATTTCCCCGCATTCCCGCGCAAAGCGCAGAAACGACAGGACAAAAAACAGTGCATATCTACATGTACTACTCTGCTAAATTGTCCAATTGGCAAGCTGGGCCACTAGATGAGAGGTTGCAAGTCTTGAGCGGAGGTCTTGGTGCTCCACATCATGTTGCCACTCCACACTACCCCAGTGATCAATCTGCAATGAACGAGAGAGGTTGATAGGGCTGGGTCCTTCTAAATTCAAAGGATTTGTCCTTCATTTTGTATACAAATGATATCTAGGAAGGGTGTTATCTGGATGATGGCAATGCATATACCAACCAAAACGTAAACTGAAATAGAGCAGAGCACTGGCCCACTTATCCCCGATTGGGGAGTCATTCTGCCCCAGTTATTGCACCCACACTACCCACAAAGGCTTCCCAGAGAGCCTCGGCTACTCCCTACAATAGAACAAAGCCAGTGGCGGAGATAACTCAGTTCCATATTCAAACCCAGCCATGTGAGCCCAGGATCTTATGGTGGTCACCAGTAATTACTCAATAGTTGGCCACTGTGCACCTGGCCAGTCAACTAAACAACAGGGGACCTTAGTAGTGACTTCTTTCTAATACCTGATGTCTTATCTCTAGACGTGATAGGTTTACTGCTGAGTCAACATTGAGGTGCCCCTCCATCAGGGCCGAGGTAATTATTACTGAGTGACATGATTGCACAGCATACCAGAATCCTGGCATAGAGGGGAGGGAGAAGGAGGGAAGTATATTATAGGCAGAGGGAGGGAAGGAGGGAGAGGGAGGGAAGGAGGGAGAGGAATTCTATTGAAACAAAACACCATATGCCACATCTGTCCCAAATGAAAAAATTCAGAGCACACAAAGAAAGAGTGCCAGCTATAGATAGGGCCAACAGCCATTCTGTGTAAACAAAAGACACCACTTTTCAGGGTGAATCATGCCATGGCCAGCCCTGTGCACCCTCCTTACCTTGGAGAGTCCAGTTATCCAGCTGGGAGAGGTACAGAGAGACTGAGGAGAGGAGGGGGGGAGGGAGAGAGGGGGGATCAAGGGAAGCGCTCGGTTGAAGTTTGGTGCAAAACCTACAGAGGAAGCACACACCAAAAGGAAACTGTAGTTTCTCCTGACGAGGGAATCTGTACAGATGTTGACTGTACACATTATGGCGAGATCACTCTTGGGACAATTTGTATACCGAGATCACATGGTCATTTGCATACAGAGTGAACATGTTCCAACAGCCCATGAAAGGACTTGGACCTACTTCACCACCAGACCAGACAGGTGTGGACAGACACAGAGATATAGGGACTTGGGGAACCAGGAAATAGGGACACCGACTGGCAATGGCAGGCACTGTTTCTGGACAAGGGATACCTACTGAACAAGCAGGTGGGTATAGGTCCCTTCCTGCCCCTCAAAAGACTGTGTGTCATTGACTGGGAGGCCAAGAATTGTGTGGGAGGGAGGTTACAGTACAGGACAAGGAGAAATAGGCAGAAATAGGGGCACAGAGGACGCGGTCAGGGGACACAGACAGTCATTACTGCCTTGTGCACAAACAAAGGCAGTCTTGGCAGCAGGCAGTGGCTTGCTGCTGAATGCTCTGGCTCTCTGCCTCTCACACACACACACACACACACACTATATAGAACATCGCTTCAAAGCCAGGATATCATCGGCACGCACAAAGAAAAGGTTTCCACATCACACGTTAAAGAGAGGGCAGATTACGGAACGGATATCGAATTGAAAGTACTCACACCCTCTCTACAGCCAAAATACAAAATATTGGCAATGTCTGTTTAAAAATGCAAAACAGAGAGTGTGGGTTTAGTGTCATCAGTGGAGCCGACAAGGGTGGAGAGTGAGGTAAGAGAGGGGAACAGCTGAGCCAGAAAAGAGAGGAACAAAGAGCGGTGAATGGGGCAGTCAGCTGTGGAGTGTGACATCAGCCGAGGCTCCTCCTGCTAGTGTGGCCAGAGGAAAAGAGGGGGAGACAGGCTGACTACAGCCCATTCACACCACCTACCAATCAATGTATGCGGAATAAGAAGCTACATCTAGCCCTGTGCATTGAGCCCTCCCACTGAAAACGGCATTGTACACCTGTACTAAACTGCCATAGAAATCTCACACTGTGCCCCCTACCCAGTCTATGTACAGACCTCATAAGGATTGTACACCATGATATACCTACCTCTGTGTATAACATGGGCTTACCGACCTCTGATTGAACCAGTTAACGAGAGGGTCCCACTCTTTGCTCTGCAGGGCAAACAGGTCTTCCTGTTCCTCCTGTCGGTACCTATTGTGGAGGGGACAGAGTTGGTGAGGGTGGGCTGGGGGTCCAACAAACAAGGGCACACAGGGACCCCCTGCAAGGTGTACAGCAGAGAGCCAACACATGTCTCTTTACTGTCAGCAGCACAGTATACGACACACATGTACGTGGGTTTTTCACATCACTGGGGGGGGGGGCTTGCTACAACAAAACAGGCAACATGCACCGTTTGAACTGCTAAAACACTGGCAGCAGTGGCAAAGTCCCAAACAGGAAAGAATTTATACATACTTGTGATTGGGGACTCGCAGTCTAAGGTACAAGAATGAAACTTTGCACCCACTTAGATTGGAACACGTCCAGAAAGCACAAATAGAACAAGGGGCCACCAGAATACACTGATTCATAAAGTGGCCTCATACATTTCTCCAGGGCTCTATTAATGTGAAAGAGATGAGTGAGGCAGTGTGTGAGGGTGGTGTGCATGCACTCACAGAACAGTGTCAGTATGGAGGTGAGGGAGGATGGTCTCCACAGTGGAGGACCTGGACCTGTCGTGAGGGTTGTCCTGCACTGTGTTACACAGAGATGTCTGGGGAGAGAGAGGACACACACTTAATATACAACTCTAGATAATCCTTTGCTTGAGAGTTGGGATAAAATTTGCTTGATTTTTTTGCTGCTGGCCCAACAAAATTTGTGTCTGATGCCCCCCAGGTTGTCAAAAAATGGGAATTATATGTATGTGTGTGAGAAGGGTTGGCAACCACATGGGTGAGGTCAAAGTGCAGAGACTGACCAGATACATGATGGAGGGTTGAAGGAGGGAGGCTTGGGACGCCCACTCACCAGCTACAGCCAGTGCCAGGGGTTCAGTTGGGAGGACCAGTAGCTCCCTGCGAGGGGTCCTCAGTTTCCTGTGGTCCAGAAGAACACCATAGCCCTCTGCATGTATGTGGGGATCACTGCTAGATAGTCTGATGATTACTACACTTCATGTACCTTCTGTCTTGTAGACCGACACCTCCTTGTAAAATCTCTTCCTCTCTAGAGGTGGGTTGTAGTATTATAAGTGTAGGTAAAACAATGTAATGTGTGTGGAGGGGAAAATGGGTCAGTGCAGCTGTTTTGTGATTTTGGATTTCACCGGGAGTCTGTGATCAGAGGCCACAGCGACCACCAAAGAAGCCTAACTGACGTTCCAAGAAGCTTTGAAGCGGTCAAAGCCACAATGAAGATCATACACCGCACCAGGCACTCACCCCATCCTCTCGACATTAGCCCCAGCCTTCTAACCACTGTCGCCGGAGACGTCGGCGGGTGGCGGAGCAGAGACGTTGCCAAACGATAGGTCATGGTGGGCACTATTTTGAAACACACACCTTGTGGAAAAGGGGGGTGGGGCTCCACGTAGCTCGTTTTCTCGAGCATGCGCAGTGAATTCGCACTGACGACCACTTTTCTGAACTTGTGGTGAGCAACTTTCTCAAGCGTGCATGATACATTTCTCATTGTACAGTTCGGCGGCATTATAATCGACATCATCAAATTACAGCTGTATAATCACTGAGAAGTTGGAGTGATGCGATAGAAGGCAACTCCATGGCTAGGAACAGTAGCAGTCACACTCTCTGTCATTGTACCCAGAATTTTGTGCTGCCATATGTCATACACCTCATACTTGCCAACCGGGTCGATCCCCAAGGCCCACCAATAGGCAGTGATGGAGGTGGTTTCGTGCCCTCTGTTGAGGAGGATGGCGGCAACACCAGGAGTGGGGTGAGAGAGCAGTACACACCACACCTCACTTGTCCCGTTTACGAAACTCTTGTTTCCCTGAATCCCCAGTGGGTCTTGGTTGACAGCGATGGCGTCGGAGTTTGTGAGGATGCGTTTAGTGTCAGAGGTCATGTTAATGACGTCGCAGCCAATGAGGAGAGGCGACTTCATGAGACACCACAGACTGAAGTGGGTCTCGTATTCCGTGGTTGTCATACCTCCATTCCCCACCTCAAGCATGTCAGGGTCGTTCCATCCATAGGGCCCAGCGTACAACCACCACTGGTTATTCAGGTCTGCTCTATTGATCATGGTGTCCCAATCGTCAGAGATATCACCAGTGGTTCGCCAACTGTTACCCACCGCGGGAGCCCACGTGGCTGGATCGTCTTTGCCCCACTCACACAGAGAGTAAAATATAGGCCTTCCAGTATAGTTCAGGGCCATCTGCATAATAGGATAGCGTATCTTGGGAGTAATATTATCGTTGTTGCAGTTGTCGTATTTGAGGTAGTCGACTTTCCACTTGGCGTAGGTCTGGGCGTCCTGGACCTCGTGGAAGAGGGAGCCGGGTCTCCCCGCACACGTCCTTTTCCCAGCGTCGCTGTACAGGCCGAAGAGGAGGCCCTTGGAGTGAACGTAGTCTATCATCCCTTGGAAATCGGGGAAGGTGGTGGGATCGGGTAGAATGAAGCCGTCCTGGTCCCTAGAGCCAGCCCAGCAGTCGTCCACGTTCACGTACTTGTAGCCGAACTCCGCGAGGTTGTTGGCGACGAATGCGTCGGCTGTGGCCTTGATGACATCCTCTTTGACGTTGCAGCGGTAGCGGTTCCAGGAGTTCCAGCCCATCTGGGGCGTCCGACCCAGACCGTTGTCGTAGCTCCGGACGACCGCGGGCAGGAGCATGCACACCAGGAGGAGAGAAGCTGGCAACAGCAACATCTTTCTTTCTTCTATCTGCTGCACGTGACCCATTCTGCAAAGTCTCGAGCCACGCCCTTTCTCCGTAAACCCCTATGATACCCGTTGATTTACGGAGCAGAAGCTGAAAGCGAAGCAGGAAGATGGCGACCGGAGGGCAGGGAGAGGTGACGCTGCTTGCCACCTACTGCGGCAAGAGGCTGAGTCTGACAGTCCCAACCAGCGCCAAGGTGGGCGACGTCGTGCATAAGGCGGTCGAGACGCTCAACCTACGGAAGGAAGACCTGCCACTCTCGCTCCTCTACCAGGGCGACCCCATCGACGACATGGCACCTCTGGAGGTGAGTTCCAGCCGTTGGGAGACTGTCGTGCAGCCAAGGAAGCTTTCGCGGCGCTCACCCATTGTTTCGTTACACGTGGAGCTAGCTAGCTAGCTAGTTGTCGTTGTGTGCAGGTGGCGCTGGCGAAAATGAAAGGAGTGACTGCCATTCATCTGGTGAAGAGAAGCGTTCAGACCTCCGGGAAGACAACGGTCCACAAGAGCAATGTTACCCGTGAAGGTACAAAGAAAGTAAAAACTGACAGACAGGAAATCCTCTCGGTATTCTTTCTTTTCAGGATGGCTGTATGCTTACTGTAGCACCTGCGAAGACGCGTAAGATAGACCCATCTGGCAATCAGTGCTCCAGTTGCAAAGAGGTCAGTCAGCATGTTTTTTTTAAAATTTACGCTATCCTATCCTATCGTCTGTTTACCTTCACATTGGCTCTAGTAGTACATACCAAACTGTGTTTGTGTGGCCACGTGTTATGTGTGTGTGTGTCAGGAAGGAGGCTTCGAACGCCAGTCAGCTGAGCCCGTGGATCATTTTGACGGGGAGTACCCCAAAGAGCGGATCATCGGGACTTGCAACATGTGCAAGAAGACTGACGTACTGGTAGGTAGAGTTTGTCCTCACCTCCTCTATTCACCCCCTCTCTCCCTCTCTCCCTCTCTCCCTCTCAGCCCAACATCAGTTTCCAATGTGTGGCCTGCGAGGAAAGGGACCAGGCCATCCTCCGGCAGATCAGGGACAACATCCACGATATTCCCTGCATGAAGTGCTCCTTGAGGCAGTGAGTGATCCTCACCCTCTCCCCTCTCCCCATCCTCCTCTACCGCTTTTCTCTCACAGGAAATTGTGATCCAATGCCGCTCCAGTTGTGTCAATTGCATGTTTCTCGTCCATCTTCCGCAACATGTGTAGAGTGAACTAGACAACAACTCTTTCGGAAACTTCGAGGGTTTTTTGCTATCTCTCTGCTGCCCAGCAAATGGTAGAATGCTTTTAATACGGCATTACAATCATAATAATGTAATCTTTTTTCCTCCTAGTAGAAGCCGATTTAAAGATGTTCCCCATTCTGGATCCTCATCATTTCAAGATTGTGGCACGAGAACCCTACCATGGATAGAACCTATGTGATTCCCCCACCCTCCTTTTCTTTCCTCCTTTACTCCCTTACATCATACCTCTTATTAAGACTGATATCCATTCTCTGCAGTAACAAGAGGTCAAAACACCAAATCGTTGGACAAACTATCTTCCTTCTGGAGACTACATTCCTGTGTCCCTGTAAAAAAGATATAACATGTACATTCTGCTCGTCCTGCCATCACATGAGCCAGTCAAGCACAAGACGCTTCAACAATCCTGCGCATGACAAAAGTCTTTGATGCGAAACAACTCACCCTAATATAGAACCTTAACACTTCCCTGTTTATGGGTGCAGTTTACCACGTGAAGCTGCAATATTACTGACATAACACCAAAACAATTACCAGCTAGCTAATGTTTTCTCTTCCCCTGCACAGTGGTATCTTCTTGGTGAGTAACTTCAAGAAGAAGCAGATCCAGCCAACCCCCTGCACCCCGAAAGACTCACTCGCCGCAAGCCAGCTGTGCTGATGCATCACCGATTACTGCATGGAGTTTAAGATTGTCTGGCACACCGGTGAATGCCCCGTACTCGACTACAAACAACTGAAAGAACAATTAAATTGTCCCTTTTTCGTCTCCTAACTCTATTCTATATGCCGTTCTTTCTCTAGTAATATCTATCCAGGCGGACCTGGTCCACGTTCTGCACAGTTGCACAGCAAGTAGCTCTCACCCTCCCCCTCCACCCCCATCCCCCTTCCAAATCTCGTCTCTTTCTCCTACCTGCCCCCCGTACTGCCCCCTTTATTTGTCGTGTGAATATAAAATTAAGTATGACACCTCTCCTATGGGTGTTTTTTTGTATACACAAACTAAGTGTGTAATTTTTTTACTTCTTTTTTACAACATTATTTTTTTTACTACTAATTTACACTACCAGTACCTAGTACGCCTTATGCGCAATAGCTTAATGTAGTGTGCGCGTTCCGCGCACGCGCGAATGCAATTTTTTTGCAGCAAGACGATCGACAAAAATTACAACGGTGAAGGATCGAGATGCCGGTTTGGAGCGGTCGTCGGGAGCTGCTGCAGGAGGCCGAGTTGCCTCTCTTTTTGGGCGCTGTGGCCCTCCGTTTTCTTCTCCTTCCACAATCGGCAGGTGAGG